TCTCGAAAAACGACACCTTTCGAGTGTTTCGTATTTGTCGATCGGAAGGAAGCATTTGCTGGGGCTAAAAAGTAGATTTTCGTGATCAGCAGATCACGTTCTGTGAAATGATGTAAAAAAAAACGCGAAAAAAAAAATTTTCACTTGAAGTTTGAACTGCCTGCACCTTAAAATAGTCAAGTTTTGAAACTTTTATTGAAACAACTGAACTCTAAATCATTTTTTAATTATAACCTATATGAGAACAGGATAGCTTATTTATTTTGATTGAACATGATTGTTGCTCAAATGTACTTGCACTTTTAAAAGAGAAATAGAGAAGATTATAATTATCATATAATCCAAGGAGGAAGGAATCGTTTATGTTGTTAGTATGATATATTAACATGTAGTAACATTAATGATGATTTCTTCCTTCCATTTAGTTTTTGAACGTTAACAATATTTGTCTGCACTTATTATAATTGACAAAATACAACTGAGCTAGAATGAATCTTCTTAAATGTACTGTAAAATAAACCAATATTGGTTAAGATGATGTTATAATATTCATTGAACAAATCAATATAACGTTAATTAGTCCACACGCTGATTGTTAAAGATATTCAGTGTGAGATGTGCTGCACGCCTATTTCTGTTAAGCAAATCAGTTTATGGCAGTTACTCTGCGGCAAATCAAAGATAAACTTTGTTACATTCTCATCAGATATTAACACCGAACAATATTTCTCTTAACGATTTTCAATTAAGAGTGGAATATTGCTGAGTAGATATACTGGCAATACATTAATAAAGAATATGTAAACCCACTAGGCGGAGTATTTTCAGTAAGATCGTTATACTGCTATCGATTTTGACTTCGACTTAATGGCAATAAAAAAGTTTTCTTGGTTTAAAATTTCTACTCACTAATCATAAATATCGGACCTGACCTTTTGCTGTTTATTAGTAAAAGATACATATTCTAGCCATCAGTTGCCTGTTACTAATAAACACTGAGCCGTAAAACTTACTACTTACTAGAAAGTAACCAGACTGATTACTCACTATGTTGTGTTGCGTGATTTAGATACATTCAACCAGGTATAACTGTCACAGAATAGTTAAATTAAAAATTTACTACTCATTAGTAACAGATTAGTAGCACAGACTATCACCTACTAACAACTAGTTAGTGATGACGTACATTACTTACTGACAGCATAATAATAAAATTTTTGTAGTTTTGATTTTCTTTTTTTTGGTAATTGAAGCAAAACGGCGTAAACGCTTTTTTAACGCGTTAAAACGCCTTTCTGGCCGTTTATTGTCTGCCTGGGTGGTGTAGGTATGTGAGTACGGGTGTGAATGATAGTCTTATTTCCTTCACACGTATACCCACATCCGCAGACATCTACACTCGCATCCTTCTGCGGAAATGAAAGCAGGTAACTCACATGTCTCCTATGTAAACGCATCGTGTTTGCTGCGAAAAAAATGAAGAGAAAGTATGCATAGCAAGTAACTTTCATCTAATCTCTATGGACGATTTATACAATGCAAATATCACGTGTAGTCTTTGACAAATGGTAAGAAACAAACCTATTGCATTAATGTCAATTCATATCTAGTGACAAATCTATCAATGAGTAATAATGTGAGTATCACATGAAACAGCAAAGACAAGATAGTTAGTCACTAGTCAATTATGAACTTCGGTCAAAAATCAGCTCCAGTAGAAATCTGTTCGAGAAAAGAATAAGTAACAGAAGAAGGATAATAAATAAACAATATTGTTCTGTTCATGGCGAAAACCTACTATTAACATCCTATTCGGCTCCAACGGACTGAAATTTTAAAAAATAAGTTCTAGTTTGTTCATTCAAAAAGAGCTTGCATGAACAATACTGCCTAAATATCGATGTTACAATAAAATTGCAATTAACTCATATCTCTTTTCTGTTTCGATCGTAGAAAAATCATTGAGACAAGAAAAAGTGCCTTGCACATATATAATTCACTTCATTTTCTTCATAGATCTCTTTCTTTTTCTTTACCAGTGTGACAAAGTGAATAGTAGTAGTAATACACAACTCGGATCTAATTGCAGTAGATTCTGTTATTTTCGAATATATTTGAAGATGATGCTGCTGATATATATTTTAGTTTTTAGATGGACAAATTAGTTTTTTTTCTTGTCTTTCCGATCAAAACACAAGACTAATTGGTGCTGCTGCTTTTGACCTAAAGAAGTAACGCGCAATTATGATAAGTCGAACTGCTAGTGTTACCCTAACTGGATTGTGTTAAATGAATTATTGAACAGTCCTCTCATTAATCATTTGTTCTTCTCTACTCTACAGATGATGAGAAATTTCTTTCGAAGATCAATATGATCTTCTAAAATCATGTCAACGAATTTGGAGAACAGACAAGTAGCAATAGCTGCATCTGGTCTCTTTCACCACATACAGTATATTTGTAATTCATGTCTATTACCTCGAATAAAAGAGTGGAAAAACCTTTTAAATGTCTGCAATAATTTACAATTACTTTCATATATTGGTGGATGTGGGTGGGTATGGATGAAGAGAGCATTGTCAGTCGTCCGCACACCCCATACACTATACCCACACCCTTCATCAGAGCTTCCGTCTGGTTACGCCACCAGATATTATAACTGCATTATTTTCTTCAAGGGTATGAATAATTTTGAACGCCATTGTACATTGAGGAGAGCTACTAAGGGTTAAATACCTCTAAAGGTCATACTGTACGTTCTACTAGGCTATTGCAAAAGTGTATTGCCTTCCAGACAATCACTTTCATGTCATCTACCAAATGCCTTATAATAATATTCAATATCTAAAATAATTCAAGCATTTCGTTCTCAATTTGAAGTTCGATAATATTGATTACACTATGAGTAATACCCATCGATGTTTATAACCTTGCTAGTATGCATCAACTACATCATGATCAAGAGTCAATTTGAGATTTATTTGAATATAGTTCAATTTATGCTCGTTCAAAGAATCATTTTTGAAAATCACCACCATTACCAATGCTCGGATACACTTGACCGTCAAAATTAGAATCAAGTACACGCGACGTTGCTAGATTTAGAAGCACAAAAAAGTTGTCCTCATTCCAATATAATCTCCATTTTTGATAGAAGCCGCCATTGAAATTATGTGTGTATATCTGATAGCCGTTGGAATCAAGTATCAATGAAGTTGCTAAGTTTTGTAATACACAAGAACCATCATCTTGTCGTTGAAATTGCCATTGTTGATATGTGCCACCATTGTATTTAAGAGTGTAAACATTTTTTTCTTCATTGGAGTCTAATACTCTTCCTATTGCCTTGTTTATCAAAAAACCAACTATTGGATGCATTACACCACAAACCATACTTGGATCCAATGATGAATCTAATCAAATAATGATCCTATTCACTTTGTGTGAAAGATGATAAAAATGCTGCATATGAAGACTTCTTGAAAACTAAAAGCTATTTTTTTTCTTAAGAACAAATTTTTTAGACTAGCCTGGTAGTCGAATAATGAAATTAATTTATTTAAATAATTATTTTTGTTCGTTTAATCAAAAACATTTTGTTACTTCGATTAAATTTTAAAAATCAAATTCATTTTATTATTTTGATTAGCTCTCAATGTTTTCGCTATTTTAATGAAATGAATTTGATTAAATTTTACATGCTTTTTGATTGAAATTACATAAATTATTGAGGTATGTTCAGATTTCCGAAAAAGGAAATTACAGAAATTTCCGAAGCTTCCATCAACTCGATAACTACATAGCAGAGTATATGAAAATCTTTTAGAAATATTAGAAATTTTAGAAGTTTTAGAAATTTCTGTAATTTCGGAAATTTCGCTACGTATAGAATTTTGGAAATTTCAGAAATTTCGGAAATTATATAATTTTGGGAAATACCAAACAATTTAAAACACAAGTGCTTGAAATTTCCGAAACTTCCAAAATTTCCTTTTTCGGAAGTCTGAACACTGCTGAAATTATTTTGCAAAATGATCAATTAAAGTGTTCGTTTTATAAATAAAAATTTCATTTTTTTTTTATTGAAATCTAATCTTTTTTTCCATTTTTTGCCTTCCTGAGTATTGTCTAAACGACGACTATAATTCGATGTATTCCAGGTACACCATACATCCAGTGTCGTCAAGAAGCGGTCCGAATTCCGGGTGGGGGAAAATGCCAATAGACCAGAGCACACTGATGACCGCTGGCAACACGAGCACTGCAGACGATACGTTGACGAACAGCGAAAATTTTTCAGAGTTTGAGTGTAACTTCCCGCTGGCGGTGGCTCTATCGTGGACGTACAAGTCTCATGAGACTTGAAAAATCATGATGGTGCAAGAAGAAGAACTAAAAATTGGTCCATATCAATGATACTCAAAACGATCTTCCATCAAAAGTTGTTACATTCCCGAGTAAACTGTAATGGCATCATTTTTTTGTAAAACTCACTCGATGTTGCTTCTATCATTGGTGATGGTGCTACTACGATAATTGTTAGTCCGACCACTGGAATCAAAAAAAAATCGAACGAGCTTGCAGTGAAAATTGAATGTTTCCCCCAGCGATCATACAACAAAATTCACAATGATAGCTTTTCAACTCGAGTATTTCTAATACGACAAATCAAATAGATACTTACTGTTCCAAATGCACTGTTGCTCTACTTGTGACCAAATGGAATCTTTCGGACAATATTTTAGATAGGCATTGCTACCTGAGCAATGCCAAAACGTGTGATGATCATCGGGATTTCCGAACATGCCATCATTTATACGTGTAAAGGTTCCATCGATACATTTTATAAGAGAAATCAGAATATATAGAACCCCTATAATATGCATTCTCTTGGCGTCTTTTTTTCATCAACAAATGCCAGTGAATTGGAAAAAAATGTTCTGACTGTATTTTTTGCGTTTTTCGATTAAATTATTTCTCGGCTTACGAATAGGTAATCGAATCTTTGTATATATTATCTTTTCTAAGTAGTAATCCTATAAATATTCCATTTATTTTTTGTAATTGAGATTCTGTTATTTATTGCAGAAAGGACAATAACAAATAGCATATAAGCGAGCAGAAATATCGATATGATACAAGCCATTCTTGAGAAGAGCAAAATTTTGGTTTTGGCGAAATAACTGCGAAGTAGTCTCTTTGGATGTGTCCAACAATATTGATCTGTACTATATCTGTCAAATAGGAGAAGGGTTCGAGTGTGGGATGTAAGTCTGCACGTGGTTGGATTTTCTTTTCAAGAACATACCGACACCCTAAACAGTATCTGAATAGTGATGTGCATTTATCTTTATAGATTATCAAGGGATTCAATCATATTTATAGGATGACAAGAATTTATTTTCGCACAAAGAAAAGTATTAGTAAGGTCAATTACAAGAAACTCGAATTATAAAATATAACGCCAAGTGGCATGTTTATCACCTAAATCACGAATTTCTTGTTCTGACATGTTCTCATAGCCCCATCGTCGTCTATCTTCTGCACTACCCAATCCAAACATGTCTACTGTAGTATTTGTATGTGTTATTACAACATTCGTACTAGGACCATACAAGCGATCACGTCGGCGATTCTCTAGTCGAAGACCGATCATAAGAATACTAGTGCAAATGATAGCTAGTGTACAAAAGCCAAGATTGATAGCATGGCCCAAAATAAAACGAGGTGCATCTTCAGATCGATAGATTTGACGACTTATAATTCCTCCACAATTACCCACAGATATCATGAATGCCAATGACGTAGCGCGTTTTGTTTGAGGACTAGTATTACCTGAAAGAAAGGCAATACATGTAGCTACACACGGTGGAATGCCACCAGCTGCTAGAAAGACGGCAAAATATTTTGCACCCAAACTGTTTACGACAATAAGAATTAGATAACCAATCATAGTTATTAGTAACCAGAATAGAATAAAGATACCACGTTGAACATATTTATCAGAAAAATAAGCTGTTGTCACCGTTGTAATAAAAGCAAAAGCGTATGGTGGAGCAGTAAGAAGTTGAGCTTTGTAGCTAACAAAGCCTAGATTTTGAACAATGGTTGGCAAGAAGAGAGAAAGAGAAAGGAGTGGCACAAGAATACCGATATAATTCAATGACCATACATACAATTTCCAACTTACGAATGCCGACGCAACTTGTTTCCAACTGAAATGCTCAGCACCACCGGGCCCAGCGTCCGTTCTCAAGCGAACAAGCACACGATTACACTCGGATTCAGTGAGAAATTTAGGCCGATCCGATGGAAAGTCACTAATAAAAAAAAAGGCAAATACTCCAACGACAACTGTGACTATGCCTTCTATATAAAATATCCAACGCCAACCTTCTTGACCACCCAAACCATTCATATTATTGATTCCATAGGCGAGTATACCGCCAAAGGTGCCAGCTAGTGTAGCCGCAGAGAAAAGAATACTGACACGCCATGAAAGTTCACGCCTTTTATACCAGCTCGACAGATAATAGGTGGCACCTAAATAAAGCACGTTTTCTTTTGGTCACTATTCAGTTATGGATGTGTCAGTGCTTCAGTGAACACGGAAATGACACACTCATACAGTCTGTATATGTCAGGTAAATCAATGAATACTGATTCAGTGTATAGTCGATGTGTCAGTAAACGTCAATGTGAGTTTTCGGCATATAGTTCACTGAAACTGCACATTCGTATATTTAGTTGATATTTACCTGGAAATAATCCCGCTTCGGGAGCACCCAATAGAAGTCGACAAGCGAGAAGACTACCATAGGAATTAACAAGACCCGTAAGAGTCGTCACAATTCCCCATGTGACCATAATAAGTGGTATCCATCGACTGGGTCGAAGTTTTTTAAGAATCAGATTTGAAGGAACTTCAAAGGCAACATATGTAACATAGACTACACTTAAACAAGCATTATATTGAGCACTTGGAAGATTCAATGAGGTCGTAATACCATTTAATTTGGCTTGACCAATATTGACTCGATCAAGATAGTTGAGCAAGTAGAGCAATGTTATACCAGGAATAAGACGAAGATCAAGTTTACGTAGCAGTTTCTTATCATCAGGGTCGTCAACTGTTTTCGTGCTCGATATATCACCAACAGTAGCTACATTCAATGTGTATTCAATTGTCTCTGATTTTGTTTCATGGAACTTGTCATTATTATTGGCAGTTGCGTTGGCTAATAAGTTATTACTAAATTTGTTTTCAATATTCTGCGATTTTAGTTCATCAAGTTTGATATTCTCGTCGACTTTGTCAAAAAGAGTCATGGCCAATAGACGATATTTTTTGCTCGCATTTTTTATATCAATTCTGTACATACATATATATGCATATGAAAAGGTATTGCCTTAGGAGAAAAAAATTTTACTATCACACTCACACATTGATATAATTATGTGGGTTGTGTATATAGTTCGTTTTTTGTATGTTCTCTCGTATGTCGACTTAGTTTGTTTTTTTCGAAATTGCCTATATTGACTTCTAATATACCATTTCGATCGTCATTAGATAGAGCAATTTTCAAACACCTATATTCTTTCTAATGTAAAAGTAACGCCCAGAAGCATTCGTCACCTTTCTTTTGATTGAATATGAATGCAATTTACTTGAAGATAATTCATAACAGCATAAAATTTAATTAAGAAATAGATTGCTTTAATTTTATTGATATTCTCCAAATAATGTTCTTTTTTTTATTTTACTTGTATCTGATGTCCAAGAAAAATTATCCATTTCTTCTTTACATAGTTCTTTTATAGACTAAAATCTAATTTTTGCTGAGCATTAATTTGGTATAAAATAGTTTATGATATCATTCGTGTCTGAAGTTGTAGAGAGATGTAATGGTTTTGTTACATCCTGTATATAACAGATATTTTAAATGTTGCCAAAGATCGGTACATTGTTGAATTTTCATGTACCATTTTTTTCTCATCACTTCTTAATCATTGAAGAACAACACAACCAATCTTCTCAGAATCAGTTCAGCAGAGGGTGAGTCAAGACAGAATATTTTCTTCACCCATTCTCATCCTACTCACCCGCTAGCGAACACAGACCAAAACAAAATGAATAGAACTTTAAATATGATCGACATTTTATTCAAAAGTTAGAAAAAGGATGCAGCAACAATATATAAAATTGCGTGTTAGTTCATCACAGTCAAACAGTGTTTCCACGGCCATTTACTCTGTATAATTCCATTTGTGATATTCTTCCAAATCCAATGCTGGTTATCTCCACCAGTACACGGTGTTATTTCGACTGAGGATTTTAGTAACTTTCTATAGTGCACCCCGAGGCACTTCCCATTAAGAGCAATGAGCTCTCCATTTTGGGGATTCAATGACCACACTTGGTAGAAATTCAGACCAGACACACATCGTGAGATAGCGACTGCTGAAGACTGGTTCTTATGATTGGTAAGACATAGCCGGCTGTGAAGAGGACGAATGGAATGATCATCTCGTTTGTACTGCCACTGTTGAGCTGCTGATGAATGATATCCTTTGCAGAGCCGAACGTTGACTTTTGAAGATGCGCGAAGACCATTACAAAACAAGCAGAGAAGAAGAAAAGTGAAGAATTTCCACATGTTGAAGCACTATGATAAAAGAATTATTCAGCGGAAGACTATTTATTTTCAAACGAAACTGAATGACGAAGAGTTATATAGGCAACTAAAGAGTCAATGAAATCAGTTATCTATAAGACAGCTTCTGTCCTTTTCTATTTACGAGAAAACTACTCTAGGTGACATCTGTCTTTTGAGCTGATATTCGGTCCACAAAGAGCTCTCGATAAGACTAATAAAAAGCGAAAAGGGTGAGTGTAGATACGAGATGAATATAATATATATACATTTACTTATACCCATGTGAATAAATTTTGAGGGTGTTCTATTATTGATTTCTTCTAAAGTGCTTATTATTATCATTGCTTTATCTCCCTTCCCTTGTGATCTTGCTGCTATCATTATTCGGTTTTTTTAAACATGTATCACATCTTCTCACTATGTTGTCACTTTTTATTTATTCGAAAAGACAGTCCTTTTCTCTTTTGCTTGCAATACTGCACGTCAGCATTTCGTTCTTATCTTTGAAAGTATATGTGAGTGAGAATGTGTGTGCGTGTGAATGACAGTGTAATATTCCTTGTTCATTTTCATTCACTCTTTCTTTTATATTATGATAGCTTGGCACATTCTTAGTCTTACTCTTGACTTCTGTTTCGCACATATGAATAATAATCATTGAAAGTGTATGATTGAAATGAGCGAAACAAAAGATATTTTTTATAAAAAGAAATTAAACTTAAATGGAAGTGGATTTTTACTATACTTTTATTTGTGACGGTGAGCTGAAGCTTGTTTATGAATATTAGATATATTATTTACATAGTTCTACTTTCCAATGAAATTAATTCGATAAAATTTTGTATGATATATTTCTACAAAGATTACGTCAATCTTTCCTGCTTGCTCAATAGATATCGTATTTTTTTTCGGGGAGGGATGGGGGATGAGTATGAAGAAAAAGCAATCACCCTCACCCTCAAGATGCTCATCAAGGGTGGATGTGGGATGTGGGTAAGGGCTTGGATATATTATTCATTACACCCACACTCACATCACACCTACATCTTCATACACCCACACCCACTACACCTATACCCTTGCATGTTCAACATTCATACGTACTTTGAGTTGTTCTTTCTCATCAACGACAACTGAGTGTGATTAATTGATGTTATCACTATACTTTACCAAGTGTTCCTAAAGCATGTCTCATAGGACAAGATTCGATCTAAGATTACAAATGCAAAACATTATAACAAATCTCGTTGAGATCCGCTCGAACCTCAGATGCATTAGTGCTAGGCGTGATCAAGTATTTTTGGTCACAACATGTCATCTTTTTTCTTGAAGGACGTATATTATGATAAAGTTCAAATATGCTGCTACTATTGGTAAAACCAACAAGAATATGTAGTTCTGGAAAGAAAAACGTAAATATTTTCGATAGTCAACGCTAAAATTCATATTATCAAATGAATAATGAACATCTTAACTGCAGCTGAAAGGATCAGTCCGTGATTACCCGTGATTAACTTCCATTCATGGTCACGGGCCGTAACGGTGACAACCGTGAATTACACCAGTCACGCCGGACTCTAGTTATGACGAATCATATTTTTGTAATAATATCGTAAAGCCTCATCGAATGACAATTGCGAATAGAATGCATATTGACAGAAATCACCAAACTATATAATCGAACAATTGTAAAGAACTTTTATTCACAAAGATTTGGAGGAATTTTCGAGGAAAGTTTGTATTCTTCAATGACATCAATTGATGCAGATAATGATAACAGTTGTTCACTTGTAATATTTTGTTTCTTTAATAGTTCGAATGTTATTGCCGTACCATGAACTAATTGCAATCAATCATTGGCTGATACTTTGTCAGACAAATTAAGTGGACGTATACAAAAAAGGAATTATCTGACGTGAACCTTTTATGGCTATAATGTTTCTGTGGTCAATGTTTTTTTGGAAAATCGTTTGTTGCATCATATAGCAAGCAATCATGTTGCAAATCGTTACCACTTACTCGATCTGAGTGATATACACGATATTGAGACAAAACTATTGATATTTGTGAAATAATCAGTGATGAAAATAAAAAGTAGTAGTTAATGCAATCCAGCATGGTATTCAACGTTTATGAATCTGTTAGAATCATGAGTCAGTCGATTTATATTTTAGAATTTCTCACATAATAACATATAGTGCATATATTCTAATAACGACCATTAATCCTTCATTCTATATCTGCAGAATCTCTATTATAATATAACTATGACATTCCTACTATCAATCATCAATAAGAGATCGTGCAAGTCATAACGTTAACGGGCAGCATTCATTTATATAAAATATAATATCTGATTACAGTTTTTTTTTGCAAATATAGGATTTTCTTCGCCGAGTCATGATTCACTCAGCTCTATATTGGTGCATGCATGAGGATGTACACTGACGAACGAAATTTGACTCCATCTGACTGGAAATTTTTAGCATATATTAGTTGCTCATTGATCATCAATGATCCCGATGAAGATAATTATAATTTACTTGATTGATTATTTTCGAGTAAGTTTTTTTTATTTGAATTTTTTTTGGTAATTATCAAAAGAAAAATTAACAATAAATCAAACCTTGTCATGTTTATCAGATAGGTTGATTATCTGTTATTCTCATCGATGAAGTCATCAGTGGCAATTTTCTTCTAGTCTATCCATACACTAATTTCTTCCTCGTCAGATTTAAATATTGAGTTGAGTGTATTTGTTGAGGACCATCTTGTGATCTCATTGCTTAAATCATCACTACCATATTTGAATTTGAATAACACAGATATTAAGTCTGAGCACCGATCAAGGACAATCTTCATTTGATTTAGATTATTGATTGGTACTTCTAAATGTTTGATGTGACATGGAAGTAATGAATAAATGTTTTCCGACACATCAAAACGGTCTCCGAGCGTATAAAGACAATGATGAATTTTGAGTGATCGAAGATTAGATGCTTGTAGAATTGAAGAAGCAATATGATCTTTGGTTTCGTTGGTAATTTCATTCCAATCGGCCAATTCATCGCTTTCAAATTTAAGATGAACAAGCTTTGAGAAATCAATTAGTGATGATAGGTATCGAAACGAGTTCTTATTATGCATGTCTTCCAAACAAAAGTATAGTTTTGTCGCATTACGAAATAAAATACTATCTGTTGTTACATTCTACATAAATAAAATAATAATGTCACAAGATATTAAAACGATTGTTAACTAGCTATGTTTATACACTAAAGTAAATTTTGTTCGAAACAACATGAATAATTGTATCGAAAACTGATCTCCTTCGAGGATCGAATGAAAAAGACACAGAATTATTTCAAACAGCTACATACTTGTTCTTCTACTTCAGCGATTATACTTCT